TTAATTATTAGACGTACGCATTACTGACTTTTGATCTACGTGAAAGTACCTAATGTTACGTATTACACGCTAACAGCCTGCCTAAACGCCTAAGCAATATATACGGCAAAATATCTATATTATGTCGAATTATCTACATTATAATCACATGCTACTTATAAGTTATTTTACTTCCATACACATACATACAATTCGTACGTTATTAGAATAATATCAATGTAACGGTTTACTACAAAGCACCACAATCCTTCGATATAGGATAACGGGTAATAACTAGCGACTATCGTATAACCATTTAGCGCTATTTTGCATACACGATAATAGTGTCGAAATTGCACGCGTACAAACAACAATCTGATATACTTAACATAATACACGATCCCCTTTTTCTGAACATACTATATGATGGTTCTGAAAAGAACCGTTTTTTTTTTTATAACCTATTATCGCACGCCGTACTCTCTCTCTCTCTCTCTCTCTCTCTCTTTCCGGCAAATAGTAAATCCGTCAATTCCATTAGGCACGTTCGCCCCTAATACGTCTTGCCAGCTGTATATCTTTCGGCATGATCGTTACTCGCTTAGCGTGGATCGCGCACAAGTTCGTATCCTCGAATAGTCCGACCAGGTACGCTTCGCTAGCTTCTTGGAGTGCCATTACAGCAGAACTTTGGAATCGCAAATCGGTCTTGAAATCTTGCGCTATTTCACGGACCAGCCGTTGGAAAGGCAATTTTCTGATCAACAATTCGGTACTTTTCTGATAACGACGAATTTCTCTGAGAGCCACAGTTCCCGGACGATAACGGTGAGGTTTCTTAACTCCGCCAGTAGCAGGAGCACTTTTACGGGCAGCCTTCGTGGCTAATTGCTTCCTGGGAGCTTTACCTCCGGTGGATTTACGAGCCGTCTGCTTGGTACGCGCCATTACGTTAAATTTCAGATAACTGAATATAAATTATCTATATAGCAGCGACGTGAATATTGCAACGGACAATATTATAGTGAGCGGAGGTAAATTTTTTTTTTTTTTTTTTATTTTTTTTTTTTTTTTATTTTTTAACGAGGGGGGAATGCATTTACGCACCATACCATAGCACGAGCTACGACGTGTGTGGGGCTCCAGGGTCTTGAAGAGATCACCTAATACCCACTAAACCCTAAACCTCCGCGTGGCCCGACTCATCAGCGTCTCGGTAGGCCATGTGTTGTGCGTGACCTGCGGTCTGCTACAACGTCTCCTCATGTGTTTCAGTCTCTGGGAACGCCGGGTTGGTTCCCTTTACCTCGCACATTCTATCGATGTCGTTAAGCGATCATCGATAGAGGGTCTGCTAGTTTCTCTTGAAACTCTTGTTTTCGAAAAATCAAGAGTTTCAAGTCATCTTACCAATATGTTGTTCCTGGTCCTGGTCCTGAAGGGTCCTGGTCCTGGTGGGTCCTGGTCGTGGCGGGTCCTGGTAGGTCCTGGTCCCGGTGGGTCCTGGTCCCGGTGGTTCCTGGTCCTCTGCATCCACGCCGTGGGGGGGGGGGGAGCAGCCGCAAATTCTCCTAGTCTCCTAGTCAAGGTTCCAGTTAGCGGGTGCCAACTGGGACCTTGGTCTGGGGTACCTGGTTCTGCGGTTGCGAGGCCTCTCGTCCGGATCGTAATCCATGAGGAATCGTAGCTGCTCGTTCGGGTGGTCCTGAGCTTTCTCGAAGGTCTTCTCCGCTTTTTTCCTCATGTACTCGTGGATGGTATCCCAATGCAGGTCTCTACGCAAGGTTGAGTTCCTTACGTAGGAAGGTGCATTGGTGGCGATCCGGAGTAGCTTCATCTCTAGAGCAGCAAGTCGCTTGCGGTAGCTGGGGGCAGCGTACCCCCAGACCGCGGAGGCGTAAGCGAGCTGAGGTCTGGCGATGGCCTTGATCAGCCGTAGCTTGGTCGCTAGCGGCATCTGGCTGTGTCTACCCAGTAATGGATAGAGTTGAGCCATGGCTGCTCTGGTTTTTGCGATGACAGCTTCTATGTGCGCTTTCCAGGTGAGGGACTTGTCAAAAACGATCCCCAGATATTTGACATTGTCGCTCCACTGGATATCTTCATCGAAGATGGATGCTTCGAGAGGTCTTGCAATCCTTCTTCGTTGAATGAAGATTGCCTGCGTCTTCTGGACGTTGATGCGGATTTTCCATTTCATGCACCAGTCCTGAATTTGGTCCAGTTCACCCTGTAGTCTCCTACGGATGATCTCGGGTCGTCTATGCTTGGCGGCTATAGCAGTGTCGTCTGCATATAGGGCCAGCATTGTGTCAGCTGTCTTCGGCACATCGTAAGTATAGATGTTGTAGAGCAGGGGGGCTAAGGCTGACCCCTGGGGCACGCCTGCTTCCAGCTGACGTCTTGTTGAATGGCATGTACCAATCTTCACCGTGAACCATCTTTGTGTTAGATAGCTCTGGATCAGTTGGCACATGTTCGCATCGATTCCGGCGGCTTCCATTTTGGCGATGAGTCCATCGTGCCAAACTCGGTCGAAGGCTCGTTCCACGTCCAGCAGGACGAGACCGGTTGCCTCCTGGAGATTGAAGCCGCTGGTGATGTTTTCCGTCAGTCGTAGCGCTTGGAGTTCCGTGTTGTGGGAGGATCTGAAGCCGAATTGCTCTGGGGGGAGAAGTTGCAGTTCTTCTGCCTGCTTCTCTAGTCGAACGGCGATAGCCTTTTCGACTACTTTGCCCACCGAGGAAACCAGGCTGATGGGCCGGTAGTTCTGGGGCAACTTCCGGTCCTTGCCTGGCTTGGTGAGCATTATAACCTGGGCTTCCCGCCACCGCCGCGGGAAGTGGTTAAGTCTCAGAGTGGCATTGGCGATGTTGGTGAGCGCAGCAATGCCTTTGGTGGGAAGGTTCTTCAGCATCCTATTGTTGATGCCGTCCCTTCCCGGCGCCTTTCTGACCTTCAACCTGCGGATGATCAGACGGATTTCCTCTGGACTGGAGGGGTGATCCGTCTCCTGGCCAGGTGGTCGACTCCTCATGTTTTCGGCTGCGACTTCCACGGCCTCCTCGTGGTTGTCGTCCTCGTCTTCATGGTAATTGAGTCTGCATTCGGATTCTAGCGAATCGGCGAATGCTTCGGCTTTTTCTTCACTGGAGTAGGCCAAGCCGCGTTGGCCGTGAAGAGTGGGGATCGTGGTGCGCTGACGACGAAATTTTCGCTGCATAGACCAGGCCGTACCATCCTGGGTCTCTAGTTCTGCACAGGCTGCATTCCATCTGTTGTTTTGGAGTTCCGCGAGTGCGTTCTTCAGAGCTAACGATGCTCTGTTTCGCGCAACTCTCGACTCCTCTGTCAACAGCTGGAGATGTTCTCGCTTGAGTCTTCTGTTCTCCCTGATCAGGTGCCTAATATGGTGCGGTGCTGGACCATTTAGGTATCTAGGAACTGCCGTAGTCTCGGAGCGGGTGCTGTCCTCGTGCGCTCGCAGGACAGCATTCGGAGGTAAACACCGCGAACAGTTATATTTATATGGGCTCGAAATACGAAACAGTCTGATTGGCCAATTGATAGACCAATAGGAGGGACGACAACGCTAACAAAACCGGGCGTCACGAGAGACGTACCGTCAGTTGGCAACAGCCCGTTCGCTTTAACAGTTCGACGTGCGAGAGAATCTTGAAAAATGACTGGACGCGGTAAAGGTGGTAAAGGATTGGGAAAAGGAGGAGCGAAAAGGCATCGTAAAGTTTTGAGGGATAACATCCAGGGAATTACGAAACCGGCCATAAGAAGATTGGCGCGACGTGGAGGAGTAAAACGTATATCCGGATTGATTTACGAAGAAACTCGAGGAGTGCTCAAAGTCTTTTTAGAGAACGTAATCAGGGATGCAGTCACTTACACCGAGCACGCTAAAAGGAAGACTGTCACTGCAATGGACGTCGTATATGCATTAAAGAGACAAGGACGCACTTTGTACGGATTCGGTGGTTAAACACTCCGCAGCAATTACCACGGTACAGGTTGAACGAAAATACAATACAAAGAAAAAAAAAACGGTTCTTTTCAGAACCACCATATACTCTCGTGAGAAAGAATGGATCTGCCGATTGAACCGCCACATTAATTTTCTATTTTTTTTTATACAAAATAAAAAGAAACACTCACATAAATGAGTTTATCGGAATATGAGAAATTGATCGACTTATACGTTTTGGCTCTTTGAATTACAATAATCGACGATTTCGGTCCCGATATGTCCCATTATCGAGATACCGGCGAATATTAGACGTGAATGCGACGATGAGATGCCTCGATTAAATAATTTAGTTATTGCCAACTTCTCGCGCCACAACCGATCCGATATCACCCTGAGAAAATTTTTCCATATACAAATGATAATCCCTTCATTTTCTTATTAAATTACTTGTTGGCCCTGAGAAGGGCCGATTGTATGTTCAGAAGATTTTTTTTTTTTTTTTTTTTTTTTTTTTTTTTAGGCTTTCTTCTCCGTCTTTTTCGGCAAAAGAACAGCTTGGATATTAGGGAGAACTCCTCCTTGGGCAATTGTGACGCCTGAAAGCAATTTGTTCAATTCTTCGTCGTTTCTGATGGCCAATTGCAGATGACGTGGAATAATACGGGTCTTTTTATTGTCGCGAGCAGCGTTGCCTGCCAATTCCAAAACTTCAGCGCCGTCTCACCATTCCAGTTCCGAGCTAGCAGCCGTCACGAGCATACACTCGTGCGACTGCGACCCACCCGGACATACAGTGCGATCCTACTGTGATTTTCATCGCGGTACGATCGCCATCCACGATGGCGAAAGTAGAGAAGCTGGCGAGCCAGCTGAAGCAGAGAGAAGAGAATTTTGCAATGCTTGCTCAGCAGATGAAAAATCTGCAAGAAGCATTTGAGCGGGCGAGGGATGAAATCGATGAGGTGAAAAGGAAGCTCCTCAAAGCAAAGAGGAAAGCTAAGAAGACGGAGGAAGAAGAAGAAGAAGAGGACCACGGAGAGGAGGACCAGCAGCCTACGGAGAACTTGGACATGGATGCCCAAAATATCGACGTAGAAGAAGCGGAGAAGAGGCCGGACGACACCGATTTCAGTGTCGCCACCAGACGGAGGAAGCGGGTGCGAGTTTCCTCCTCCGAAGAAGAAGAAGAACCCAGGCAGCGAAAGATGCCAGCTGCCACAAAGAAGAGTGGTCCTAGAGCAACCAGGACCACCGAGGCCCCCATGGCAGGAACAGGAGTTCCGCCAATCAACATCGAGGGCACCGCTGATTGGTCATCCTTGAGTAGGATGATGAACAGCAAGGGGATTCAATTCTCCAAAGCGAGGACGGCGGGTACCAGTGTGAAGGTATTCACAAATACACCAGCTGACTACCGTCAGCTAGTCGCACTGCTTGAATCCATCAAGCGGCCCTTCTTCACATATCAACTGAAGGAGGACAGGATGGACCAGAGGGTCATTCGTGGGCTTCCGAGAGAGATGTCAGTCAATGACATCAAAGAGGATCTGGTGAGCCAAGGCATCGCAGACGCCGTGGTTCAGCAGCTGACCTCAAGGACCACAAAGAAGCCACTTCCGCTCTTCCTCGTCAAGACGAAGATGCCGGAAAAGCTTGCAGAGATCCAGAGGCTGGCCATGCTCACGGTCAGCTTCGAGAGGAAGAAAAAGTCTTCCGAGCCCAGCCAGTGCTACCGCTGCCAGCGGTACGGGCACACACAGCGGAACTGCCGTCTCGCTGAACGGTGCGTTAAATGTGGAGAGGACCACAACAGCACCAGCTGCAGTCTGCCAGCGCCGCCAACAGGGCAACGAAACGCCAAGTGTTGCCTCTGTGGAGAAGGCCACCCCGCCAACTACAAGGGATGTAGTAAGGCGCCGAAGAAAGCTGCTTCTGCCCCCAAAGCAGTCCCCACCACAAATAGGACTTCTTACGCCCAAAAAGTGAAGAAGCCTATGTCCACTTCTGCCCCAGCAGCCGCCACTGCTACTGGAACCACTGCGCAGAAGCAACACGGCGATGACAGACTGCTAGCAATGATGCAAGCCATCATAACCCGCCTGGATGCACTCGAGGCCAAGATGCAAGACAAGCACTAGACCCGAAATGTCTACAGGTCAAAACGTAGAATCTCTACGCATTATCTCCTGGAACATCAACGGTTTCAGGGCACGGAAACCAGAAATCCAGGAGATACTAGACCAGTACCAACCAGAGGTGATGGCCATCCAAGAAACGAAGTTGGATGCTGCCCATAGTCTGACGTTCCCGCGGTACGAGACGTACCGCTACGACAGAAGGGGCAGAGGTGGAGGAGTCGCATTACTCGTCAAACGTACCTTGACGAGTCATGTCCTCGACGATGCCGCAGACATAAATGGGGACGGAATCACGGTCCAGGTCCATCACAACCACCGTCCCTACAGAATCACCTCCCTATATGTGCCACCAGGGGAGGCCCTAGACGAAGATGACATCGCGGACCTCCTGAGAGGCCCAGGAGCACGCATAGTCATCGGAGATCTAAACTGCAAGTCTCCGGCTTGGAACAACAATGTCGAAGACAGGAATGCAAGGCAGCTCCAGGAACACGTCGATGCCCTGGCGGGGGTCATCGTCGGTCCGGAGCAACCAACCTACATTCCATTCGGCCTTGGGCGACCTGCGGTACTGGACATAGCCATCCTCCGCAACATCAGAGAGGAGTTCGAGATAGAGACCCTGGTGGAAGGATCGTCGGACCACAATCCGATTCTACTAACACTTGGTACAGGGTCTAGAACTCGAGATAGCTTGAGCACCAAACGGACGAACTGGAACCTTTACAAATCCAACGTCCAGAGGAACATCACTCAAATTCCAACCATCCGATCAGCGGAGGAACTGGACAACGCAGTAGAGGAGCTGGAGAATGCTGTCCTGCGAGCGCACGAGGACAGCACCCGCTCCGAGACTACGGCAGTTCCTAGATACCTAAATGGTCCAGCACCGCACCATATTAGGCACCTGATCAGGGAGAACAGAAGACTCAAGCGAGAACATCTCCAGCTGTTGACAGAGGAGTCGAGAGTTGCGCGAAACAGAGCATCGTTAGCTCTGAAGAACGCACTCGCGGAACTCCAAAACAACAGATGGAATGCAGCCTGTGCAGAACTAGAGACCCAGGATGGTACGGCCTGGTCTATGCAGCGAAAATTTCGTCGTCAGCGCACCACGATCCCCACTCTTCACGGCCAACGCGGCTTGGCCTACTCCAGTGAAGAAAAAGCCGAAGCATTCGCCGATTCGCTAGAATCCGAATGCAGACTCAATTACCATGAAGACGAGGACGACAACCACGAGGAGGCCGTGGAAGTCGCAGCCGAAAACATGAGGAGTCGACCACCTGGCCAGGAGACGGATCACCCCTCCAGTCCAGAGGAAATCCGTCTGATCATCCGCAGGTTGAAGGTCAGAAAGGCGCCGGGAAGGGACGGCATCAACAATAGGATGCTGAAGAACCTTCCCACCAAAGGCATTGCTGCGCTCACCAACATCGCCAATGCCACTCTGAGACTTAACCACTTCCCGCGGCGGTGGCGGGAAGCCCAGGTTATAATGCTCACCAAGCCAGGCAAGGACCGGAAGTTGCCCCAGAACTACCGGCCCATCAGCCTGGTTTCCTCGGTGGGCAAAGTAGTCGAAAAGGCTATCGCCGTTCGACTAGAGAAGCAGGCAGAAGAACTGCAACTTCTCCCCCCAGAGCAATTCGGCTTCAGATCCTCCCACAACACGGAACTCCAAGCGCTACGACTGACGGAAAACATCACCAGCGGCTTCAATCTCCAGGAGGCAACCGGTCTCGTCCTGCTGGACGTGGAACGAGCCTTCGACCGAGTTTGGCACGATGGACTCATCGCCAAAATGGAAGCCACCGGAATCGATGCGAACATGTGCCAACTGATCCAGAGCTATCTAACACAAAGATGGTTCACGGTGAAGATTGGTACATGCCATTCAACAAGACGTCAGCTGGAAGCAGGCGTGCCCCAGGGGTCAGCCTTAGCCCCCCTGCTCTACAACATCTATACTTACGATGTGCCGAAGACAGCTGACACAATGCTGGCCCTATATGCAGACGACACTGCTATAGCCGCCAAGCATAGACGACCCGAGATCATCCGTAGGAGACAACAGGGTGAACTGGACCAAATTCAGGACTGGTGCGTGAAATGGAAAATCCGCATCAACGTCCAGAAGACGCAGGCAATCTTCATTCAACGAAGAAGGATTGCAAGACCTCTCGAAGCATCCATCTTCGATGAAGATATCCAGTGGAGCGACAATGTCAAATATCTGGGGATCATTTTTGACAAGTCCCTCACCTGGAAAGCGCACATAGAAGCTGTCATCGCAAAAACCAGAGCAGCCATGGCTCAACTCTATCCATTACTGGGTAGACACAGCCAGATGCCGCTAGCGACCAAGCTACGGCTGATCAAGGCCATCGCCAGACCTCAGCTCGCTTACGCCTCCGCGGTCTGGGGGTACGCTGCGCCCAGCTACCGCAAGCGACTTGCTGCTCTAGAGATGAAGCTACTCCGGATCGCCACCAATGCACCTTCCTACGTAAGGAACTCAACCTTGCGTAGAGACCTGCATTGGGATACCATCCACGAGTACATGAGGAAAAAAGCGGAGAAGACCTTCGAGAAAGCTCAGGACCACCCGAACGAGCAGCTACGATTCCTCATGGACTACGATCCGGACGAGAGGCCTCGCAACCGCAGAACCAGGTACCCCAGACCAAGGTCCCAGTTGGCACCCGCTAACTGGAACCTTGACTAGGAGACTAGGAGAATTTGCGGCTGCTCCCCCCCCCCACGGCGTGGATGCAGAGGACCAGGAACCACCGGGACCAGGACCCACCGGGACCAGGACCAACCAGGACCCGCCACGACCAGGACCCACCAGGACCAGGACCCTTCAGGACCAGGACCAGGAACAACATATTGGTAAGATGACTTGAAACTCTTGATTTTTCGAAAACAAGAGTTTCAAGAGAAACTAGCAGACCCTCTATCGATGATCGCTTAACGACATCGATAGAATGTGCGAGGTAAAGGGAACCAACCCGGCGTTCCCAGAGACTGAAACACATGAGGAGACGTTGTAGCAGACCGCAGGTCACGCACAACACATGGCCTACCGAGACGCTGATGAGTCGGGCCACGCGGAGGTTTAGGGTTTAGTGGGTATTAGGTGATCTCTTCAAGACCCTGGAGCCCCACACACGTCGTAGCTCGTGCTATGGTATGGTGCGTAAATGCATTCCCCCCTCGTTAAAAAAAAAAAAAAAAAAAAAAAAAAAAAAAAAAAGTCGTTCCCATTCAGCAGCCAACCACCGAGGATAGCAGACGTGACCAGCGAGACCGCAAGCGACAAGGCGACACCGAAGCGACGACGCGACAAAGCGACCGATCAGCGACGACGCGACAGCGACGCGACGACGCGACCAACGCGCGGAAACGCGAGAAAAACGCGGAAACGCGAGTGAGACACCCACTCGATAAGGCAAAGCCTAAATCGGGTGGACGAAGAAACATTACACAATTCCCATCTCGTTGGGAATTGTGTAAAAGCGCGACTTAGCGAAAACAGACGCACCAAAGTGGGCCGACAAACCCACAGTGAAGTGTAGTGAAGTGCAAAGACACTAGTGAGTGAGTGGTACACAATTCTCAGAGTGCGGCGACAACTGAGAATTGTGTGAAAGTGGGCCGACGAAGCCACAGCCGGAGTGCAGTGAGCCGAGAAGGCACCAGTGCGCGAGTGGTACACGTTTCTCAGAGTGCGGCGACTGAGAATCGTGCAGAAGCGAGCCGAGAAGGCACCAGTGCGAGAGTGATACACAATTTCCAGAGTGCGGTCACAACTGGAAATTGTGTAAAAGTGCAGTGAAGTGAATCGAACTCGGAAGAGTCGATGGTGGTGATCGAGCGCGACACCATAGATAAGGTGACCAAGATGCTGGACGACGAAAACACGTATTCCTCGTCCAGCGAAGAGGAGGAAGAGGTCCAGGAAGAGGAACCTCGACCAAACAGGATGGAAGAGGAAAACCGCGAGCTCAAGAGGCAGATAGCGGAACTATCCTGCCAGCTAGCGGACCTGACGCGTCAGCTACTGGAGGAGAGAAGGATAAGCGCCGAAGAGCGCGAGAAGACGGCCAAGCTCATCGAGCTTATGGCCGCTAGACAAGGGATTGAGATAGACGATCCCAAAAAGAAGACTAAGAGGAAGGCCGATAAGACCGAGGAGGTTGACGAGAAACCAGCCTCCAAGAAAGCGGCAGTGGACCCCTTCCCCCCGCTCCCAAAGAAGAAGACAGTGGAGGAGAAGACCACCCCACCCCCCCCGTCAACCACCGAAGACAGGATGGACACCGAGCAGGCCCAGCCAGCTCCCAATCCTAAAACAAGAAGGCCGCCACCCCTATATACATAGGGAAGACCAGTGGCAAACAATGAAGAGGGGAAAGAAGATCCCAGCCGACAAGCCGGCAAAACTCACCAGGACCGGCATAAAGGTCCAACTGACGACCGAAGAAGAATTCAGAAGCGTAAGGAAGACGCTCGAAGAGAACAAGGTGGAACACCACACATACTCCCTGCCAGACGAAAAATCCCTGTCAGTTATCATCAGGGGCATGCCACTGATGACGGGGGAGGACGAAGTTAAAGAGGACCTGGAATCTAAAGGATTCCACCCAAGAAGAGTCAACAGACTCACCAGCAGGCGAACCAGGAAGAAGATCCCGCTGGTCAAGGTGGATCTTCCAAAGGAAGAAAAGAGGATTTACGATCTGACAGAATGCTGTCAGATGATAGTAAAAATCGAGGCACAGAAGAAGAGAGAAGGACCGGGCCAGTGCTACAGGTGCCAGCAGTTCGGGCACAGCCAGCAGAACTGCTCCGGGGCACCGAAGTGCGTGAGATGTGCAGGGGCACATCGCGCATCGGAGTGCAAAGTGCCACAAGAAAGAGCGGCAACCTGCGCCAACTGTGGTGGGAGCCACCCAGCAAACTACGGGGGATGCCCAAGACGCCCAAGCTCGAAACCAAAGAGCAAACCCGCCGCGGAGAAGGAGAAGAAGAAGATCACGAAGCCAGCCCCAGTAAGACCAGGACAGAGCTACGCAAGGGCTGCAAGAAGCGACGAGACGGCACCCCGAAGGCAGGAAAGACCCTCCACAAACCGGGAAGAAGAAGACGGGGATGAACTAAAGAGGTTCATGGAAACCCACATGGCCCAAATGAAGAGGCTCATCATGAATACCCCCGAAGCCAAGGAGGCATTCATGACAAGCAAGAACAGAAGAAACGCCAACTAAATGGGCAGCCTGCCAACATCTAGGACCCTACGGATATTGAGTTGGAACGTACATAGTGCTTCCAACAAGAAGTACGAGATAGGAGAACTGCTAACTCGAGGGGACTACGATGTGATGGCGTTACAAGAGACAATGCTCTCAAGCAGAGTTCCAAACTGGACCTTCCCAGGGTACACGACGTACAGGAAGGACCGAGACCAGAGAGGCGGAGGCGTGCTGATCTCCGTAAGGAGCAGCATCAGCCACGACCTGCTAGGAATCCCCGATCTGAGGACTACAGAAGCAGTAGGAATAGCCGTGTACACGGAGGACTACGGCACGCTGAACATCATCTCGGTATATATACCACCAACGGTGACTCTGCATATGGACGACATCACGCAAATCAGCGGAATGGGCGAGAGCATTGTCATCATAGGAGATCTGAACGCCAAATCTAGGATCTGGGGCTCGCGCACGAACAACAGACATGGCGAAATCCTTGCGAGGCTGATGGATGAACCGGAGTACTCCATACTAGGACCTGACGAACCCACGCTGTACCCAGACAACGGTACAAGGCCTGATGTAATAGACATTGCTATCTTGAAAAAGGTAGACGTGTCTTGCAACATTGGCGTTCTGCAAGAAGGAAGCTCTGACCACAACCCCATATTCCTGGAAATAGGAGAGGGAGCACCAAACGTGGAGAAGAGGATAGCCAGAAGAGTGAACTGGGACCGGTTCCGGCGAACCTTTCACTACTCACTCGGCCCACTACCTCAGATAGAGACTCCTGAAGGCATAGAGGAAGCAGTTCAGGGCCTAGAACGGAAGATCCAGGACGCGCTAGATGCTACTACCACGGTAGAAGACATCACGCAGCCAAACAGGTTCAGAGACCTACCCCCAGAGGTGAACCAGAAGATCACCGACAGAAACAGGGCAAGAAGACTAGCTCAACGAACAGGAGACCCAGAACACAAACGAGAGCTAAAAAGGAAGACCGAAGAAATGAGAAAAGCCCTGATGGAGCACCATCAACGCAGCTGGCAAAGAAAATTAGAGGAACTAACACCAGGTGAGCCAGGAATGTGGAAGCTAGCGAAGATCCTGAGAAATCGCAGACAACAAGTTCCCCCGCTGCAAGGAGCCTACGGGACCGCGTACACGAACGACGAGAAGGTCGAAGCATTCGCAGATAACTTACAACGGCAGTGTACGACATACATGCACCCAGATGAGGACGAAGACTTCGTAGAAGAAGTGGAAAGAAGATCCAGAAGAGCTACGAGAGGAGGAGAAATGGTGCAGCAAGCCACCTCCCCGACGGAAATCAGGGACATCATCAAGACTCTCAAGACCAGGAAAGCAGCGGGCTGCGACCGAATAGGGAACAGAATCCTGAAGAGGCTCCCGAGAAAGGGCATGGTGGCCATAACCAACATCGTGAACGCTATGCTGAGGCACCGATACTTCCCGGACAGATGGAAGATCGCGGAAGTAATAAACATCCCGAAGCCTGGGAAAGACCCAAAATTCCCACAAAACTACCGGCCAATCAGCTTACTAACTTCCTTGAGTAAAGTTGCAGAAAGGGCAATCGAGCGAAGACTTAGACAACAAACCGAGGACCTTAGAGTACTGCCAGACGAACAGTTCGGATTCCGGAGCGGCCATTCATCAGAGCACCAGCTGCTTCGGCTCGTGGAGTGTGGGACGCGTGCGTTCCAGGCTCGGCGAGTCGCGGGAGCGGTGTTCATGGATGTCGCGAAGGCAATTGACACCGTCTGGCACGACGGACTCATCTATAAGATGCAGGACAAGGGATACTCGACAGGGATGATTCAGCTGGTGAAGTCATATCTGAAGAACCGAAGATTCCGGGTTAGACTGGGAAACACCACCTCGACGACCAGAACTGCAGAGGCTGGGGTACCGCAGGGAGCGGTCCTATCCCCTCTACTATACGCCATCTACAGCTCCGACGTTCCGAAGACCCCAAATACGCAGCTGCTGATGTATGCGGACGACACTGCGTACGTAGCCGAGTCATTTCAGCCCCGCATGGCTACGACTTACCTACAAAGAGCGACAACCAGTCTACAGGAATGGTGCAAGAAATGGAGGATCCAGCTAAATCCAGATAAGACCGAGGCGATGCTCCTCAGGAAGAGCCGCAAGACCCCTGAAGGCAACCTCAAGATGACGACCACAGAAGTGCTGAGAGGCCTGGTGCGTGACGAAGAAAAAGAGGTACAGTGGACAGACACCAGCAAGTACCTCGGCGTCAAGATAGATAAGGGTCTCACCTGGAAACACCATATAGAAGCCCAAGTGCAGAAAGCCAAGATGGCAAGAGCCAAGCTAAGACCGATGCTTGGAAGAAGGAGCAAGCTCTCCCTGAACAACAAAATGCTGCTGATCAAGATGGTGCTCCTACCGATTATGACCTACGCGTCAGTTGCTTGGGGCTACGCAGCCAAGACGTGGAAGAAGAAGCTCCAAGCACAACACAACATAGCACTCCGAGAAGCGGTCAACGCACCGTGGTACGTGCCAAACCGAGTGCTATACGAAGACCTGAGACAAGTGCCAGTGCTCGAAGTGATGAAGACCAGAGCTCGGAAGTTCTTCAACAACGCCGAAGAACACGAGAACCAGCTCATCAAGGCCGCCTTGGACTACGATCCAAGGTTCATACATAGGCACAAAAGACCGAAGAGCCAGCTGCTAGAAGATATGGGACACAGCAGCTGATGAGTCCTAAAGAAGAGGGGTAGAACCTCGCGAGGAAGGTACTGCATGCAAGATAGGCAAAGTCCTGTGCAGTACCGGTGGTCAGACGGCGAAGATTTGCCATGCTGAATGCACCGATCTCATTTGAGGTGCGGGGCATTTAGATGGCACTAACAAGCGGGCCTTCTGACGACTTCGGCATTTGTCGGCGTGGTCAGGAGGCAACACTCAAGAAAGAAGATCAAAAACCGAAGAACCCAAAAGCCGTCTTGGGAAACCTTAATGTGGACCTCAGGTCAAGGTCCCACCGATGGAACCCCAAATAGAGGACGACTCGTAAAACCGGAGAAAGGTACACGAGTATAAATGACCACTTCCGTTCTGCAGCCGTGCTTCCGCGTCGTGATTAGCTTACCACACCTTTCGGCGGGGCAAAATTCCGAGGGGGGGAAAAGCGCGAAAATTTAAAGGGCAAAATTGGGTGGGGGGTGGGGTTTGCGTCCGACAGGAACACAAGTTGCAGGAGCGTCCAGTCCACGTACCGCCACTGGGGCCGGAAAGAGTGAGGGTACCTGGACCGGGGAGGTGGTGGGTTCGCTTAGGAACTTTGTGTTCCTGTTCCAGTCGTTCCGTTAGTCGAGCGTTGGTGTCGATTATACTCAGCATCATCTCACAATAAAATGCCACCCAAAACTAGCGGTAAGGCTGCCAAAAAAGCGGGCAAGGCGCAGAAGAATATCTCAAAATCTGACAAGAAAAAGAAGCGCAGGAGGAAGGAAAGTTACGCAATTTACATCTACAAAGTACTGAAGCAGGTACATCCCGATACGGGTATATCCAGCAAAGCGATGAGCATCATGAACAGCTTCGTCAACGATATTTTCGAACGTATCGCTGCGGAAGCTTCCAGATTGGCACATTACAACAAACGTGCCACGATAACTAGCAGAGAAATTCAGACAGCCGTACGACTATTGCTACCGGGAGAATTGGCCAAGCACGCAGTCAGCGAAGGTACCAAAGCCGTCACCAAGTACACCAGTTCAAAATAATATAGACGTTGTATTCGCTTCGACGGTTATACGGTTCGAAAAATAAGAACAAAAAAAAAACGGTTCTTTTCAGAACCACTAAAGTTATCAAGTAAAGATAATGATATCACCGTACGCGCAACATATATATTATTGGTACTTGAATACCAGATGATTATTCGTGATATACATACACCACTAAAGCAATAACGTCTGATATAAGACCCGACCGGATTATTTAATGGTAAACGAAAGCGTAAAAAAAGGGGATATCCTTACGACGCAATCGACTGTTTAACGTTCATTCGTTTAATTAAACACAATACATACTTATTTATACCCTTAAAAGCAAATATCGATGGTGACGACGCCTAACATTACCACTTGCTTATAAATACCTAATCGTAAACGAATAATACTCGAATTTAATAAAAAAAAAAAAAAAAAAAAACATCAACGCACGTACGAGCCGCAGTTGTACATGTATATTTCGATACAAAATTGCTAATTCGTAAATATTCTGTATCCTTTTTATAGTAATAGTGGTGGCCCTGAAAAGGGCCATTTTCAATCCGCGGGGACGTATAGCATCCTCTCGCATAAATATAACGTCTCGAACCGACGTAGCCGTAATCTACGACGTTGCAACACGTCTAAATTTTTTTTTTTATTTCTTCTTTTTGGGTGAAGCGGCCTTCCTTTTTGGCGATGTTGCAGCCTTCGCCGTTTTCGGTTTTGGTGCTTTTGGCTTCTTGGTCGGAGCTCCCTTGCTGGATTTCTTCGCCTTCGAAGGAGATTTTTTTGCAGCCGCTGCAGAAGGTGCAGCAGAAGAAGCTTTAGCCGACGTCGCCGATTTCCCACTTTTCTTTGTCTTAGCTGGAGAAGCTTTCTTCTCGGCCGCACCACCGGCCACCGCCGGTTTCTTAGCCTTCGGAGATGCCTTCTTCGCAGATTTCGCACCGCTAGCTCTCTTAGCTACGGTTCCGCTCTTCTTTGAGCCGGTCGCGGATTTCTTCTTCTTTTCGCCAACCTTTGCGGCTGACGATGATGAAGTTTTCGACGCTCCGCCAGCCGATGACGAAGCTAGCTTGAACGATCCGGAAGCTCCTTTGCCTTTCGTCTGTACTAAAGCTCCAGACGCGACGGACGATTTTAAGTACCTCTTGA